CAGGCTCTGCCCTGTCAGCATGGAGCCCGATGTGGGGCTCAAACTCACGAAAGTTTGAGATCCTGACCTGAGCCGAAACCAAGAGTTGGACGCTTAACTGACTGAGCCACTCAGGCGCCTCACAATCTGAAGTGATTTAAGGAGACATAAATACTGCTGAAATAGTTTAGGAGCTCACTGCATGAGAAACTGGGAAAGAGAGCCCGGGTGGGGCAAACAGTAACATTTCTCTCACCCTGTCATACCCTGTCTTACCCAAGAACCATGTTGAACAAACCAGAAACTTAAGAATCATCCTGATTTCTCTCTTCTCTTCATTTCCTACACCCATTCCATCAGTAAATCTTCATGTTTCCATTTCCAAAATAGAAACTTCTGTGCATCTTCACAATCACTCCCCTATTCCTTGCCACTAACGTCTCCCCACCAGGGCCACTGCAGGAATCTCTCAAGTGGTCTCCTGCTTGCATTCTGGCCTCCTTCCAGTCCATTCTCCTGTTAATGTTCTCGTAGCAGTCATCACCATCTTCAATTATTGCGATGATTTATTTCTTTTAGTTTGTTTTTACTGTCTGTTTCCTTTACTAGAATGTCAGCTCCATCGGGCAGGGGCCAGGTCTGTCTTATTCCTCACTGTACCACAACTTCTGACATCTCGAAGCTTCTTGATAAATACATAGGAAGGAAACGAAAGTTGAGTGAATACACAACTTTAAATATGAAGTCACATTTGTAACTTGCCTCCTCAGAAAGTTCTCCTGAGACTGGCTTCCCAGACTGGTGGGATGGGGAAAAGGACCTTCTGTATTTTGACGACTCCTGAAAGGAACGTGAGAACACAATCTGGCGCAGGGGTTGCAAATGCCAAAGGGCTCAGGCAGGTACCACCAATCTGGAGGCTGTAAGCTGTGTGTAAGCCACAATGAGTGGCGGGGGCCATGACCGTCTAGAGACCCCCATAACTTCGACTAATGTGGCCTTATCAGCTCCAGCCAGCTGTGTCTGAGTGGCAACAAGAGCCCAGGGGCGTCACATCTCCCGAGCTTTCAAAAGAAGATGGAAAGTTTCTGTATCAGCTAGAATTGGGTTCGGCTGGGAGTACTGACCTGAAAGAGTAGCCTAAGTGAGGTAGACGCGTATTTCTCTCTCACACAAAAGAGGTCTGGGACGTGTAGTCCTGGACTCACGGAGGCTCAGTGGAATGAGGGACCTAAACTTCTAATTTACTGCCCCGCTCAGCATGGTTTCCATTTCCAAGCTTCCCTCATGACCCAGTGGACTGCTGTGGCTCCAGCCATTACTCCTCATTCCAGGGAGCAGGAAGGAAAAGGAGAAAAGAAAGAACCTGACCATTCTTTTATAAGATTCCCCGGAAGCTTCGTGGCCTATTATTTCATTTCATTGGCCAGAACTAAATCATACAGCTACTCCTCGCTGCAAAGGAGGCCGGAAAGTATAATCTTTCTTCTGAGTGGACATGTGGCCAGCTAAGAAAGAAGGGGAGAATGGATATTGGAGTTCTCAAAGACAAGTCTCTGCCAGAGCTGGCCTTTTCTGTGAAATCCTCGGGTTTTGACACCGTGACAGACAAATGAAGCATGTCTGCCATTTGGTTCAGCAGAGAGGTTTTGTGAACCCCGGTGGTTTTGTGAACCCTGCTTAGGGGAGCAAATACGGATGCGATACATTTCTGTGGCAGGCTGGGCTAGTCGGTGAGTGGGGGTGGTGAGGGTCATAAACAGGGCTTGGACAGGGAATCCAGACAGGAGTGTGTTCAGGTGGCCTGGGGGGAGGGGGGACACTGTGGAGGTGGCAGCGGGAAAGGGTGAGGAGATACGGTCCTTGGCCTGTGCTCCCAAGGAGTGCGTGGGGCCTGGGCAGATCAGGGAGGTCCTTGGCTGCCGTGGCTTCTCTCACCTTGAGGTCTTAGCTCTTCTGATGGCTGCAATTCCAATCTCCTCTCGATCGTGAGGTCTCTCTTCTTTCTGACCTTCACTGAAAGTGCTCTCTCACGCTAGGTCAGGGTCACCCTCTCTGGAGGGATAAGGAAGCCCGAGTTAGATCCGAATTCCCCAAGCCCTCTCCAGCCCTCTTCGGTCACTGCTGCTACCCTCTCAGACTGGGGCTTCACTTCCTCTCAGGCTCAGTGATGATTCCCCTCAGAATAGCTCGGTGTCCCAGGCACGTCAGACCTTGTTGGCAGGAAAGACACCACCCCACGTGTTGGAAAAACCACTGGGTTTGCAGGCAGACTTCCCTCCCTTGAATCCTTTCTGCATGGCTTACTAGTTAAGTGACTATAAATACTTTAAGAACTGTAAACTGGAGAATAGAGTTCTCCTTACCTACTTCATAAAGCTTTATGAAGGGTTCACAGAGATCATATATATATATATATATATATATATATATGGCCTTTGTATCAAAGAAGAAAAAATCTAAATAGCTCTAAATATAAATTGAAGGTTCCAGTAAAGACTCTCTGTATCGTCTATATGTTTGAAATTGATGACTTTATTGACACAAACTTTGCAATAGAAAGTGTTATGTTAAGAGAATAGTGAGAATCAGTTCTTGTATCACACACACAGGAAAAAACTGCAGGTGAATTTCCAGTAACACGGTTTAACTTCTGATCACTACCTTTTTGTGAAATCCAGATTGTGCCAGGGAGGTGCAGATCATATATGCCCCTCATTCCTTTCTCCCCCAGAAGTGAGACATTGTTTCTATTAAACAGAGATATCCTCTCCAGTTAATGCATTCCACCGCAAGGTGCAACAGTTACATGAAGCACAAACGACGCTGTAGAGAGAAACTGGTGTAGTCCGCGACCCACGGACAGGGGCATGCTGGGGAAGGAACACCCCACACAGAGACACGACACATGTGCCTAGGAGAACGAGCCCTTGAACTTGCAGGATTGTTGTCAACCTTTGGCAGTTGGGGGCTCCTGCTGAGTAACGCCAGTGGGGACATCGGAGCCACAGATCTTGCTTGTATTGTATTATTATTTAATTTTCAGAACATGAAGTTCTTTAAAAGCCCTTTCTCAAAGAATCAAAATGATAGAGGTTTGGGAAAACTGTAGCTTTGTGTATGGTAAAAAGGCTTGTGCAGTGACTAGGAGAACACCCAGATCCGGTCTAGGAGAGAAAGCTACCCTGAATGTAAAAGTGAGAATTCACAACATACCCTACACTTTAGGGTCTAAGTTAGTCCCCTAGTTATGAAGTCCACTGTCAGATTCAGAATATACAACGGTGACTGGCCAGACTCAAAATCTCTTAGCATCTGCAAGGTGCCTGATGCAGGGCTGGTATTCAATGTTTAATGAATAAATATACAGTCTACCAAAGGGAGGGAGGGAGGGAGGGAGGGAGGAAGGGAGGAAGGGAGGGAGGCCGTGCTTGTGTTTGAGGAATAACAAAATTAACAAGTAATGAGGCCAAGTTTCTAAATGTTAACCTACATGTCACTTCTCTGGACCGTATTACATAAACACACACCATCAGGCTGCCCATTTCTGCTAAACATGGAGTTTATTGGTATCATTTGGTACAACTTTAGTCCTACCTTTCCCAGTCCAGGCATGTTAACAATCGTTTAAAATTATGCTACATTACTTTGGAGGAAGATGCTTCCACCTTAACACGTGTAAAGGAATGTTAGATAATTTTAATCTATCAAAATATTTTTTTTACTGCCTCTGATTTCTAACACAGTGCACGTCGGTCAATGTGATGGCACATCAACTCGGCACTGCCTTTCTAAAGCGATTCCTTTGGGCGCCTGGGTGGCTCAGTCGGTTAAGCGTCTGACTTCAACTCAGGTCACGATCTCGCGGTCCGTGGGTTCGAGCCCCGCGTCGGGCTCTGGGCTGATGGCTCAGAGCCTGGAGCCTGCTTCCGGTTCTGTCTCCCTCTCTCTCTGCCCCTCCCCCGTTCATGCTCTCTGTCTCAAAAATAAATAAACGTTAAAAAAAAAATAAAAAAAAAAAATAAAGCGATTCCTTCACAGACAGCACACGACATAGCCGTAGGCCTGGTGCTGTGTACGAGAGGCTATGTGCTGCCAGTATGTTCTGGATTATCTGCCTCTTGCGAGCAGTGTCTACGCTTTGGTTAACAACTGCAAATGACCCAACTGACCCAACTGGAGAGAACAGACACTCAAAGAGCACAAGCGAAGAGAACTGGGACGCTCTGAAATGCAATGTCTGGCTGAGCCCTGAGGGCCGTCCCGGTCGGATGTGTTGACCACGGTGACCACGATATTGCGGTACGTGGGCAGACACGGACACCTGTATGGGGGGGGGGACACACTGAAGGCAGATGAGAGACAGGTGTGACTGCATCACAGAGACCTCCCCAAACATGCTGTGAGCGCGGGCAGGGTTAGTTTGTGTGACACTGGATCTCTGAATCTGTCTCGGACTGAGCTCAGGAGACGGGTGTCACAGGGGTTTTCCCTGTTTCTCGGTCTCTCCTACATCTGGGTTTACAGGTGGGCGGAAGACGACTGTTAAGTGAACACGGTAAGCTTTCCGACGGTGGGCTTCCTTCGGAAAGACAGAACGAAGGAACAGGCCGACGCGCAAGAGCGCACACCGCCACGGCCGGCGGGGCTGAGAGCCCACGTGCGCGTCGTTCTCCCAGGAAACGCACTCCGTCCACTTTTCTCCGTGTCACAAACCCGCCCGTGGCTCTCGCTCACCACGGCCACGTCAGACCGCATCGCAGGGGCTGCAGACAGGCACGGTCACTGCAGCGTATCACCATATGCAAGCACTGTGTCAGTACAGCTCTGTGGTGAGGAGGGCGCGGAGAACGTGCCTGCAGCCCAGGCAGCCGCTCGCTGCCTGGTAAGACGGTCCCTCAGGGCACTCAGCAGCGCTCACGTTCAGCAGGGGCCACCCGCTTCTTCAAGGCTCCTTGATGGGCTCCAGTAGGTGGAGGGCACCAGAGTTGTCCACCGGCGCTGCCAGCCGAACGCTCCTGCTAGTTAACACAGTTCTTCGAGATTCTTCGACTTCTGTCCGCCTGTCGGATACTGTCTGTAACATTAATGGTGACTTCTTTTGCAGACATTCGCTTAGCGTCTCTTTTAGCCTGTTAGAAAGGTTAACATCATGAACTGAGTTAGTAGAACACATCCCGGTTTGCACTAATCTCCTGAGATTGCTACACACACGCGCGCACACACAGGCAAGAAGAACGACCCACAGGAACACATGCACATGTCCTCCTTTTCAAAGCTTTCTCTGTTGAAACTCTCATGTTGACCTAGCACAGAGCCTGGCATCAGGCATGCTCAGTAAAACACTGTTGAATGAATGCATTAATTAGCGAAGGTCCATCAAGGGGTAGTGTGAAAGGTTTCACAGCCGGCTTTAGTAAAGCAGTTAAGGAGTTGAGCTTTGGAGCCAGACGGGCTTGTAGTTAAAGACCGACTAGATAATTTCACTATGTGCGAGTTTTTTCTTTTTTTAAATATTTCTTTTTCATCATAGAATCTTTCTTTTCTCTCTCTCTTTTTTTTTTTTAAGTTTATTTATTTATGTTTGAGAGAGATAGCATAAGTGGGGAAGGGGCAGAGAGAGAGGGAGGGAGAGAGAATCCCAAGCAGGTTCCGCACTGTCGGCATAGAGCCTGATGTGGGGCTCAAACCCACAGAGCCGTGAGATCATGACCTGAGCCGAAACCAAGAGTCAGATGCTTAACCAACTGAGCCACCCAGGCGCCCCTGAGCAAGTTTTGTCTAACCTAACCCTCAGTTTTCTCACCTGTAAAATGGGGGATAACAACGGGACTTACCTCACAAGATTATTGTAAGGATTAAATAAGGTCATGAATTAAGGTTCTCAATATAGTGCCTATTGCTAAATAAAACTGACACACACACAAAAAAGATTCAGTAAGTATAAGTAAAAAGGAAGATAAATTATTTGCTTCTAAGTGAAGATAAAATGATCAAAGTCCAGAATTCATATTAAAAACTAAAACATTGGGGCGCCTGGGTGGCGCGGTCGGTTAAGCGTCCGACTTCAGCCAGGTCACGATCTCGAGGTCCGTGAGTTCGAGCCCCGCGTCAGGCTCTGGGCTGATGGCTCGGAGCCTGGAGCCTGTTTCCGATTCTGTGTCTCCCTCTCTCTCTGCCCCTCCCCCGTTCATGCTCTGTCTCTCTCTGTCCCAAAAATAAATAAACGTTGAAAAAAAAAAAATACTAAAACATTGACTAAACTGTAGGCTCTTGTACCCTATATGCCCCACCTCAAGAGTAAACTTTAACTTAGTGGGGAGTGATTTTGTGTCCATTCCGCTCAACTGTATGCTTGCAGCGAGCGCGAGAGGGGTCCTGTTGAGTCATCTCCGTAGTAGACAGAGATATGTGCTGCCCAATCCCACTCCAGGGAGCCCTGCTGCCTAGCAGCTGGGAGTGCAGTCAGTGAATCACTTCCAGCCGTCCCCTTGGGGTGTCTCAGCTGCAGAAAGCCCCCTCACCCTGGGTCATGCCTTTGCCAGGGTGGCCCAATGCAGGGTATGAAGGCCTGGCCATTTTGGTACAAAGCAGGCTGGCTCTGAGCAGCCACTTAGCTCCAGAGCTCCCTGTGGGGCGGGCTCGGCTGCGGCTACTGCTAGGCCTGCCTCTGGCTCACCTTCTCCTCTGCCCACTCCTGCTTCCGGCCCTCCCCTCCGCAGGGGTTGACAGGGCACTTCCCAATGAGCATCCTGTATAATGACATCGCAGCATCTGCTTCCTGGAAAACACAGTCAGCCTCAGATCTGAGGAAGCATCTCCCAGGGCGTGAGAGTCTACCTGCTGGGCGTGGATGCAGACAGATGCGTGTTTTTAATACAATATGGCCCCCGAATACAAGCCAACTACTTCAGCTGTAGGGCGTCCAAAGAAATGGTGGACTAGTGCACCACTGGAGAAAAATAAATTGGCCTGGTTAATTTACTAACAAATGATAGGTGGTTTGTACCATGTCACATACATCCTGTGTGGTAGCTGCTGGAGACGCCCCCTCCAGATTCTCTTTACGTGCCTGGTGCATCCATACCCCCAGATGCTGTGAGTTTTGTCTAACTGCCCACAGCAGCACCCAGTTTTTAAGAATTGTCTGATCAGATGACATCTCATCTGATCAGAGCCACCTTGCTCAGAAATGCCACAGAGGTCACACACTAATTCCTGGAGACAGCCCAAAGCCCATGTCTGATGGTTGGGGATATAAAAGGCTGGCCATGTTGCCTCAAGGGGATATAAATCTGTGATGTCTTCATGCTCCAGAATCCCCTGTGGGACCAGGCTCCCTGAGGGAGTCAGCAGAGCTCACATATTTGCTGAACTGGGTCCCCTGCCCCATCCTGCTTCCCTTATTACCATATGGGCTTCACCTGACAGTACTCTTTTTTTTTTCTTGATGTTTATTTATTTTGAGAGAGGTGGGGGGGGTGCGTAGACAGAGAGGGAGAGAGAATCCCAAGTAGGCTCTGTGCTGTCAGTGCAGAGCCTGACATGGGCTCAATCTCGTGAAACGTGAGATCATGACCTGAGCTGAAATCAAGAATTGGGACGCTTAACCGACCGAGCCACTCAGGCACCCTGAGAGTACTCTTTCAATCAATTGCTTGCACAAGAATCCTCATCGTAGGTTCTGCTTCTAGGGAACTTGACCTAAGAATACTTTATGGGTGATTTGAGAGGTATTTAAGGGATAATATTGACCATATGCAATTTGAGTCTTACCCATTGATTTCATGAGCTAGGATTTTACTGTTTTCCTCTTCATGTGCCCAGTGCCTATTACCATCTGAGACGGAACAGGTTCTCAATTTAGGTTTGGCTGAATTAGTGGGTGAATGAATGAATGAACACACTGCATTTGTCAATGTCCCCTTGCTTTAACGACCCGATGTCAATGCTGTTTAAGGAATCAGTCTTACAACTCAGCTCTTCCAAAGCCTGAACTGGCACCAGGGCTAGCAATGACTTTGATGGGTTTATTTCTCACTAAAAGCAGAGAACCCATAAAGTCCCACCCCCAATTTGGTTTCTCCTAAAGAAAAGTGTGGCAATCCTGAGGCTGATTCCATCTGATTTCCATTTGGGGTGCAATTGCACACAAGCTTTGAGGACTGGGGCATGGAATAGAGACACAGAGGCTGTATTTGAAAGGAGCCAAGGTGACGGCAGCATTCCTCTCAAACTGGTGGGCAGTCAGAGAGCTTTCCAGAACGGAAATGTAAACTTTCCAAACGGTACAACTACTTTCCTCTAGATTTACTGGCAAGATTTCACAAAAGGTTATTAAAGATTATACCCAGAAAATGCTCTGCTCTGTATTTCAGTCTGCTTCTCTAAGCTTAAAAATATAAGCAAAAATTTAATAGCTGGATGATTCTTAATTTCCTAGCCTGGTTAAGTAGAGAGTCCAAGGCTACAAAATAGTCATTCCCAGAACAGCCACAGACTATGTATGACTTTTTAAATTTTTTTAATGTTTATTTACTGTTGAGAAACAGAGACAGAGCATGAGCAGGGGAGGGGCAGAGAGAGAGAAAGGGACAGAGGATCCAAAGTGGGATCTGCAATAACGGGCTCTGTGCTGATAGCAGCAAGCCCCGACACAGGGCTCGGACCCACAAACTGTGAGATCATGTCCCAAGCCCAAGTTGGCTGCTCAACCGACTGAGCCATCCAGGTGCCCCTGCTTTTTGCAACTTCTTAAATCTGTATATCCAGAGAAGCCTGCCCTAGCGGTGGTGTTCAGAGCACAAGCTTTGGGGCCAGACAGACCTGGACTTAGGGCAAGGCTTTGTCACCAGTTAGTTTCACAAGACATGTTGCTTTAACCTCTGAGCCTCAGTTCCCTTACCTGAAAAATGGGGAGATAATGCCTGATACTCTGTGAGGCTTTTTGAGAGAATTAAGCATGTCACTTAGCATTAATAGGGTGACCAACTTCCCCTGGTTTGCCCCAAATTGACTGAAAGTCCTACATTCTGGGAGCCTGCTCAGGCCGCTGCAAACCAGAACAGTCACCCCAGTTATAGCTAACATTAATTCTATTTGCAAAACGGTGATGTCGAACATACTAAATTTAAATGGAAAGCCTTCTTATTCTATCTAAACTATGGCTCTTGCTACTCCTGTGTCCAAACAACAAGGACAATACCTCTGCAAGGTTATACATTTGGATAAAAGGCACTGGAGTTCTTTACTCCAATGACGGATACGGGTTCGAAGCCACAAACAAGTCCCTTTCAAACAATTACGCTGTATTGGTAATTAAACATTAGAACAACAGTGCATTCTCTTGGAAGCGTTTTATAAAAGAGAAGCTTTCAAGTCTGAGGCATCAGCAGAAAGGCGTCCACCCCTTTTACAGCAGCACAGACATTCAGGAGGTCGGTCGTTGCTGTGATCTAGTTACAAGTTGGAAATCTCAGATTTCAAGCCTGAAGGAGAGGGAGAAAGATGAGAAAGAGGGCTACAATGCCAGATTATTTTCTCTAGAAGCCCTGAGAAGTTACTTTGCCCTTCTACAAGAGAAGAGCTATGTGGATACGTGGGACAATTGTCCCATTTTGGTCCTCAGAACCTCTTGACATTTTAGGGGCGCTGGGTGGCTCAGTCGGTTAAGCATCAGACTTCGGCTCAGGTCATGACCTCGTGGTTCGTTGGTTCGAGCCCTGTGTCAGCCTCTGTGCCGACAGCTCGGAGCCTGGAGCCTGCTTCGGATTCTGTGTCTCCCTTTCTCTCTGTCCCTACCTACTCGCACTCTGCCTCTGTCTCTCTCAAAAATAAACAAGCATTTAAAAAAGAACCTCTGACATTTTGTATTATAGATATTTTTCTCTCTGATGTGGTTCTCAGCCAGCCAAACCTTTTTATTTAACATCCCACTCCCTTTATTTAACTAAAGGAAAAGAAAACATGTCCCAATTGCAATTACTGACTTAAAAAAAAAAAAATCTTCTGGTTCCCAACTCAGTGATGAGAGAAACCTATTTGGCACCTTTTTCTTTTGTGGCTGTCTGCTAATGCAATCCTTCCTCTACTTCTAAAATTCTTTTTTTGTGAGTTTTATCACCACTGACTC